GAACCCGTTGCTCTAGGGTGCGGGCGGCGGCAGTCTATTCTCCACCCCCGAACTGAGATGTGGCTGGAGCGAGGGGAATCAACCCTACTTGAGCTAGAGTACCGAACATGCTCAGGAACTGTGCAAGGGTCTCCTGAAGAGCCGGTGTAGTAGTAGTAGGCGTATCAGGTGCCTGTGCTCCGACTGGAGCTACAGGTGGCCCCTTTGTAGCAGCTTGCTCGGGTGCTCTAGCTGCACCACGTGTGCGTCCTCGGCCTCTACCCCGGCCCTGGCATCAGGCGGCTCTAGCAGTGCGCGAGTGCCTGGTCATCTCCGGCTGCACGTGTCCTCACCATCTGTGAGAGAATAGAAGATAGAAGTTTAGAATTTCGAAGTCAATATTCTCGCACGACAAGGAACCAAATGAAGTGGAATTTTCCTAACAGTTCCATAGCCTCCCGAAGATAAGTACAAACATCTCCGTACCGATCCGCGAGACTCTAATAAACTGGCTTGTGACTCACGCCTCCTATGAACCTAGGGCTCTGATATCAACTTTTCACGATCCAAGTTCTCCCTCCGTGAACCGTCGTGATGGCATCTAGTCTCTATGACTAGGTAAGCCTAACATTTGCAGAAAAATGAAACAAAAACATAAAAGCTAACAACTAATAGGTAAATTTTTAACAAGAAATTAAGATGCCGCTCGGCATATACAATAACCACTCTCGAAGTGTACATAAACTCTCCCAAAACCCGGAATATCACAAGTCACAAGCTACAGAAAGAAAATAGTATTTCTACACTCCAGAATCTATCCAAAAAGAAACACAAGAACTATTTGACACGGGGAAGAGTAGATAGGGACTCCAAGGTCTGCGGACGCGACAGATATACCTTGAAGTCTCTATAGCTGGCTCGCCTCTCTAATAACGCGGCTGGAAAGCGGTACCTGGATCTGCAGACGGAAAACATGTGCAGGAAAGGGCATGAGTACACCACAACAGTACCCAATAAGTGCCAAGCCTAACCTCGGTCGAGTAGTAACGAGATCAGGTCATGGCCCTACTAGTATAAATATAATGAAATAAGACAAAACAAAATATAACAGGCAAAATAAATACAGAAATCTAACAGGAATAGAATCATAGAAAGACAACAACTCAGAACACAAAGATAACAACAGGGGATCTCCTGAGATATCGTCTCGTAGTCCCAAACGTAAATGTGTAGGGGGATCTCCCAGAATACCGTTCCATAGTCCCAAAGTAAATATGCAGAACAGGGGGATCTCCCGGAATACCGTTCCTTAATCCCATAGTAAATATGTAGAACAGGGGGATCTCCCAGAATACCGTTCCGTAGTCCCAAAGTAATTATGCAGAATAGGGGTATCTCCGGAATACCGTTCCGTAGTCCCAAAGTAAATATACAGTACATGGGGGATCACCCGGAATACTGTTCCGTAGTGCCAAAGTAAATATGCAGCTAAACCAACACTAATAACCGATACAGTAAGAATACCTACAGTTTCGACTAAGTTCAAGTCAAGCAGGTAATTTTACTAAACATGATGCAAATAGTTCAGATAGGAAGTTAAAACACGTAGGCATGCTAATCTAAACTAAACAGGATAGTTACATATGCTAGTGTAGTTCAAATAAGGAGAAACTGGTTATGACTTAGTGAAAAATAGAGTTTTATAACAAATAGCCCGTGTACGTACTCGTCACCTCACGTACACGGTGCTCACATATCAAAAAAGTACCAAATCCTAAAGGGAGATCCCCCACACAAGGTTAGGCAAGCCACTTACCTCGAACCAAGCTCAATCAATCAGTCACAATGCATTTCCCATGAATATCCGGGTCCGAGTGGCCCAAATCTAGCCAAAATCAATTATATAGATTAAATATAACTATAAGGAACTAATCTAGCTAATGAAATGAAAGCTAAAGCAAGAAATTAAAAAAACGCTCATAAAGCCTCCCAGAGCCCATGTCTCGGAATTCCGTAAAAGTCATAAAATATGAACATTCATTCACTCACGAGTCTAACCATACCAAATTTACTCAAACCCGAAACCAAAATCTTGATCGAAACCCCAAAATTCGGCCTAAGAACTTTTCTCAAATTTTCCCCAATTTCCAACTCAAATCCCTAATCAAATGATGAAATCAACAATGAATTAATGGAATACAACCAAAATTGAGTTAGAAATCATTATCCAATAAATTCCTCTGAAAATCCTTCAAGGAATCGCCAAAATCCGAGCTCTCAAGTCCAAAAATGAAGAATGAATTCAAACCCTCGATATTGCCCTTTTTCTACCAGCGAACTCGTTTCTGCGAGCCCAAAACCGCACCTATGGTACCGCATCTGTGGTGAAACCTCCGCTTCTGCATAAGTCACTTACTCCAACATCCTCTGCTTCTGCGACCACTGACCGCATCTGCGCATGTCGCAGGTGCATCAATTACACTGCACCTGCGAACCCAAGCTCACACCTGTGCCCTACTCTCCGCTTCTGCCACCATCGCATGTGTGGGAAAAATCTTCGCACCTGCGAACTCTGCTCCGCTCACCTCAAGTCATTTTTGCGATCCAAGTCCTACTTCTGAGGGCTCACACCTGCGGTGACCACTCCGTAGGTGCGATTACACAAGCACTAGAAATCTTCAGCAATTGCATAAGTGCAAATTTCAACCCGTTGAGCATCCGAAACACACCCGAGGCCCCCGGGACCTCAACCAAACATACTAACCAATCCTAAAATACAATACGAACTTAGTCGAGCCCTCCAATCACATAAAACAACACTAAAAACACAAATCACTCTCCAATCCAAACTTAATGAACTTGAAACTTCAATTTCCACAGTTGATGCCGAAACCTATCAAACCATGTCCGAATGACCTTAAATTTTGCTCAAAGGTAATAATCAACATTACGGACCTATTCCAACTTCCGGAATCAGATTACGACCCCGATATCAAAAATTCCACTACCAGCCCAAATCTCCAAAAATTTAACTTTCGCCATTTCAAGCCTAAATAAGCTACGGACCTCCAAAACACAATCCGGAAATGCCCCTAAGCCCAAAATCACCCAACGGAGCTAAAGGAATTCACGGAACTCCATTCCGGAGTCATCTTCACACATTTCTAACTACGGTCCAAATTCTAAGACTTAAGCCTCCGTTTAGGTACTAAGTGTCCCAAAGCACTCTAAAAACCAAAACCAAAACGAAAACTCCCAGAAAGTCACAATAGGTGAAATAGATACGAGGAAAGCAGTTAATAAGGAATGAGGGCTATAACTCTCAGAACGACCGGCCGGGTCGTTACAGTACTCGCCACATCGCGTACATGGTTTTCAATCACACAATTTCTACATAAGACTCAAAGCCTAAGGGGAAATTCCACCACACAAGGTTAGGCAAGATACTTACCTTTTTGAAGTCAGGCCGATATTCCAAAATAGCCTTCTTGCTTTAGTTGATCTTCGGACAGCTCAAATCCATCAAAATTAATTGTATAACCTCATTAAAATTCATCGAAAACAATTATGGACAATATAATGTCGACTTAAAATTTCATATTCAAAAAGTCAACCAAAAGTCAACGTGGGGCTCGCCTCTCGGAATACGACAAAATTTTCATGAAATCTGAACACCCACTCCTATAGAGTTCAACCATACCAATTTTATCAAATTCCAATAACAACTCAACCTCCAAATCTTAATTTTTTGTTTTTGGAAGATTTCGCAAAAATCTTGATTTCTTCCATTTAAATCCGAATTAAATGATGAATATAACCATGGATTTATGAAATATAATCACATTTGGTACCCAAGTAAAAGTCGTAAAAAACTCCTTCAAAATCACCCAAAAATCGAGCTCCAAAATCTAAAACGAAATGAAGGAAATGACCATTTTCGGTCCTTAAGTTTCTGCCAATAAAAACACTAATTCTGTCACTAAAAGTCCATTTCCCATCACCAAAAGTCCATTTTACGTCACTAAAAGTCCACACCTGTACTTGCTTGCTCCAACACTATATTTTTCACTAAAAAAGCTCTAACTCCAGCATTCGAACTCGAAATTCGACGATTCTTGCTCCTATGAGTCACAAATAATAATATGAACCTAGTCATTCAATAGAAACTCAATTCGGATCTCATTTGCTCAATGCGATGCCAATTTCGCTCGTTAAACAATTAACTCATGTTTCATGCTAAAAACCCATCATGACTTTATGAAATTAGACCAAACATTCCAGATCAGTCCTATACTTCATTATCAAACTCTCGAAAGTCTCGAAATCAGATTTCGATATCTAGAACTAAATATGGACCTTTGGATCAGTACATGCTTATGCTAAAAAATGTCAAACACCAAACACATTAAAAACCCATCCAAAACTCATCCGAGCCTCGTGGGACCCCAACCAAGTATACTAACAAGTCCCAAAATATGATACAAACTTTCTCGAAGCCTCAAATCACAACAAACAACACCTAAACAATGAATCACATCTCGAATCGTACTTATGAGTTTATGAAATTTTCCAAATTCTATATCTTGTGTCGAAACTTATCAAATCAAAATGACTTCAAATTTTGCATGCAAGATGTAAATAACATAAAGGAGCTATTAAAATATCCAGAATCATATTTCGAACCCGATATCAATAAAGTCAACTCACGGTCAAACTTACCAAAAATCTTCTATTTTCCAACTTTCGCCAAAGTGCGCTGAATTGACCTACGGACTTCCAAATCAAAATTCGTACATACGCCTAAGTCCGAAATCACCATACGATCAACTCTTTCCATTTAAACTTCAAAATGAGAATTTTTTTTTAAATTTAATTTTAAATCTTTTGAAAACCAAACTCGGCCACACACACGGGTCATAATACATATTACGAAGCTGCTCGAGACCTTAAGTCGTTGAACGGGGAGTTAATTCTTAAAATGGAAGGTCAGATCGTTACATATAAACTCGTGGAGTAGCTCTTTACCCACTAGCCTGATTAGCTCCACTCGAACCCGCTGCTTGCATATTTCTAGGGATTGCACCTCTATTAGCTTGAGAATGAGTAGTGATAGGCTTTTGAACTGAGCCCTCTGTATGTGTAGAAGAAAGAGGATTAGGACAATCCTTCACTTTGTGATCCAGGATTATACAATTAAAACAAGCACCAGAGTCTCTTCTACAAGCACCATAGTGATTCTTCCCGCACAGTGCACAAGTAGGTATATAAGTTTTGCCTTGGCCATAAATTGGAGTACTAGCAGTAGAGAAATTTGGCTTATTCTGCTTATGATATGGTGACTTATGTGAACTTTCAATCTTGGAATAGTCAAACTTTTCCTTCTTGGATGGACCGCCACAATCTGAATCACCCTTCCTAAACTTGTTTTCTCTCCTACTAGCTTCTTCCTTGTCAATTCTTTTCCAAGTAAGAGCAGCTGAAACTAGCTTGGAAAAATCCTCAAGTTGCAAGATTGCCATAGATTTTCGGATGGAACCATTTAATCCTTCTTCAAATATTACGCACTTGTCCCTTTCATCATCAATAGTACCTCCAGCATAGCGAGAAAGCCTAAGATATTTTTGTTGATACCCTGCAATAGACACACTCCCTTGTCTTAAATTCAGAAACTCTTTTTTCTTAGCATCACAATAGACATGGGGGACATATTTCACACGAAATGCTTTTATAAAGTCATCCCAAGTAAGCACTGGAGATTTTTCTTTTGCATTTGGCACACTTACCCACCAATCATAGGCATCTTTTTGCAAAAGAGAGATATCATACTTAAATTTGGCAGCATTAGTATACTCTAGTCGTTCAATGACCCTCTCCATGCACTTGGGCCATTGTTCAACTACCGTGGGATGGGTAGTGCCTTCAAATTCAACTCCATCCATTTTCCTCATCTTCTAGAAATTCATTTCATTAGGTTCTGACATTGTCCCAGCCAAGTGACAAAAGAACTCAGCCATCTGCTAAAATGGAGGAGTCATAATAGGAGTACTATGACCCATTGCTATTGGATTATTGCCTACTTCAGATTCACTAACACGAGGATGGTTTACGTTAGGCAAAGATTCCTCATCTCCTCCCTAAAGGTGAGGTGGAGCATTATAGTGAGCTTGACTTTCATCAACAGACTCAATAGCTCTATTCGAAGGGGAGGCCAAATTAAAATTCCTATAAAAGTTAAGATCACACTGCATTAGGGACATGTACATGATGCATATGCACAAAGAATACAACAAATTACACTAAATAAGTATGCAAAAATTTATAATCTCCAAGCCATTTTCAAAAAAGGAAATAATAACAAATACTAGTTACAATCACAACAAAAACCCTACAATCAAAAACCTACGCTCTGATACCAAAATTTATAGCAACCCCCTAGGATGATGCCATTTATAAACACTAATGTAATAATTATAAATTTAAACATTCTTTTAATAACTTAAACTAGCAAAAAGTGTAAAAGAAAATATGCCCATGAATAAACTCCAACATACGACATCTCAACTTAGAAAAAATCTCATAAACATCTCTTTAAAATTTCAAGATAAAACTATTAAAAAATTCGGCAACATCTATTTAAGTTAAATTAATACTTTAAAATTTACCAAATACCTAGTAGAAGAATATCTTTTTCATACACCATCAAGACTCAAACTAAGCATAAAGTTCAACTCTCAATCAAATACAAGCTAGTTAAATCTACAAAAATAATCTCCCAAGTTCAATTCAAGTACCGAATTTAATAAATTATAAGACTTGGGAATAAACACCCCCAAAATAGTCAAATCATTCACCAAGATTAAGTTACCAAAATAATAGTGTCATGACCCGATAATCATTCAAGAGTGCATATCTAAGTGTATCATATGGATCATCTACAAGTCCCCAAAAATCTACAAACACAAAATTACATATGCCTATGCAAGTGTGATCTTCATAATCTTCCCAAGAGTCTACTTCAAATGATATCCTCAAGCATCTCCCGGCACATCACCTATGATAGTAACAAACTATCGCTAAGCATAAAGCTTAGTGGCACATAAACTTAACTAACATTTTATAATAAAAGAAAGGTAAACTATGAAATGAATACAAGGAATAAATTCTAGATATGAGCTTATTAAAATCAACATCAAGTACTTAATGAAGGTACAATCACCTCAAGAAGGCATGTTAAACCATAAAATAGTTCAAGCTACCATTATTCAAAATCTCAAATGCCAAGAATATTTTCAACTAAAATCCGAGAAAGTCCACCAATTAGTTGATTCGCCCAACACATGCATCATGAAATTTAAAACATAATCAAGTAACAAGAAGGACCGGAGTCCTAGATCAATTAGGGTCGTCACCCAATTATCAAGAGAATCAAGAGCCGTATTGAAAGTGGTTTTCCCATCCATACTCAAAATGGACAAAGTCCATCATTAAGATGGAGCGTAAATCCAAAGTCAGGATGGGTCAAGATCCAAACAAAATGCATGCCAATAAGTGAGAAAGTCACTATCACAAGAGGGATAAAATCCCAACAAGAATGCAATGGTGCTCAAGCAATCCGTATATGTAGGCGAGTTAAATTGTCTTACAAAAATACTTCACATGAAACCCATATGATTTTTAACATATTCATAACTCAATTACGAAATTATACCCTCAATGACCACTAATAAATCAAAATGCCTCAAGATATTCTTTCACAAGCAACAAAGCAGGTAAACTAGTAAGTAGCAACCAAGTCAATATGAAAACAGATTTTACCTAAATTTCACCAAACCTTAACCACTTACAATATCTCAACAAATTAAATTGAAAGAACACTCAAGTTTATGTGCAAACATTGGAGCTTTAGTGCTTCTAAAGCTCAAACAACATCAAGGGATTTAAGATCTTCTAAGCCAAGAAAAGAGCGATTTTCATAAGGTGTGCTCCTTAGCTTGAACAAATGTCTGTTGTACCTTAAACACGTAATCAACACTCACTTATGTCTGAAATTTAAAGATGTTTAAACCAAATCATGATGAATATCAAAAAGGAGGACTAAATGGGTCACAACTATTTTACTAAAAATCTAGCAGCAACTTAGCCCTGTATTTTAACCTTCTTTTGACATAGTAGACAGTAGAACTGACCATTTTGGTCTTCATAACAATTGTAGATCTATGTCTCACCTTTCTACAGAATTTTGAAGCACTACAATCTGAGTTTTAGAAAAATTGTTACGCTCAAAATACTAATCGTTGCCCAGTTCAAAAACAGGATTAAATCTCTTACTTTCAAAATCTCAAATTCTCTAACAACAAACTTAATAATTTCACCAAAATATATTGAACAAGAAGCTTACCACAAGTTTAAGAGAGTTTCTCCACAAATCTAAACCTAGGATTTCAAATAAGCTTAACCCATCTTTATTCTTGAAGATAACATTCCAACATATATTCAAAAGATAATGAATAAAACTTTTATGTAAACCAGTGTGTTCTTGATGGTAGTGGGAGAACGGAACTTGTGTGGATTGAGAGTTCTCCAATAAAGGTGTAACGACCCGGTCGGTCGTTTCGTGAATTGTAGCCTTGTTTCCCTCATATCTTCTTCCTTATTTGTTCCTCACCGGTATTTCATCGTATCGTGTTGGTTGGTTTGGGTCTCGAGTGGTTGCGGTGTGGAATGAGACACTTAGTCTCCTATTTAGAAGTTTAAGTTAGAAAAGTCAACCGGATGTTGACTTATGTGTAAATAATATTGGATGAGAATTCTGATGGTTTGATTAGCTCCGTTAGGTGATTTTGGACTTGAGAGCGCGTCCGGAATGTAACTTTGAGGTCCGTGGTAGAATTAGGCTTGAATTGGTAAAATTGGAAATTTGGCGATTTTTCGTTGGCAGTGGAAATTATCGGGGTCGGAATGAAATTTCGGAAGTTGGATTAGGTTTGTAGTGTCATTTATGATGTGTGTGCAAAATTTCATGTCATTCGGACGAGGTTTGGTAGGTTTCGGTATCATTTGCAGAAATTGAAAGTTTAGAAGTTCTTAAGCATGAATCCGAGGGTAATTTGGTGTTTTGATGTTGTTTTGAGTGTTCCAAAGGTTCGACTAAGTTCGTATGTTGATGTGTGACTTGTTGGTATGATTGATAGAGGTCCCGAGGGCCTCGGGTTATTGTCGGGTGGTTGACGGATGAAGGATGGAATTTGAGGAATGCTGAAGGTTTCACTGAGCTGTCATAACCGCACCTGCGGAGTGGGGACCGCAGGTGCGGGCCCGCAGAAGCGAAGAAAGAGCCGCAGATGCGGCCAAGGCTGAGAGGTCAGGAACTGCAGATGCAATTAGTGGAGCGCACCTGCGAGACCGCAGGTGCTAGTAATGGACCACAGAAGCGGTTTTGGGCGGATAAGTGATTTTCGCAGGTGCGGCGCTTGGACCGCAGGTGCGGTCGCGCAGATGCGCTAAAAGGGGCTGCAGGTGCGAGATGCCTTGGCAGAAGGTATATAAGGAACACTTCGCAAATTTTTGGGGTATTCTTCATAATTTTCATTCGAACTTGGAGCTTTTTGGAGAGTTTTGAAGAGGGAATCAAGGGGTTTTTCATTGAGGTAAGTTACTTGAGCCTAATACTCGTAATTAAGGTGATTTTCAGTTGTTTAAGCATGTAATTAGGAGAAATTAGGGATGAAAATGAGGGGTTAGGGCTTGGGAATTGGAGAGTTTCATTTGTGGATTTGAGGGACCATTACATGTCGGATTTTGATGAATTTGGTATGGTTAGACTCGTGAGTGAAAGGGGTTTCTAGTTTTGTGATTTTTGTCAGATTCCGAGACGTGAGCCCGGGGGCTGGGTTTGGGTGAATTTCGGGATTTTGGTCTAAATTGATAGTTTTTCGTGTGGAATTGGTTCCTTGGCCTATATTGATTGCATTGTATTGTTATTGATTAGATTCGGGACGTTTGGAGGCCGATTCTAGAGGCAAGGGCATCGCGAAGTAGGGATTTGACCGGTTTGAGGTAAGTAATGATTGTAAATCTAGTTCTGAGGGTATGAAACCCCGGATTTCGCATTGTTTTACTACTTAGGGGGTGACACACATGCTAGGTGACAGGCGTGTGGGCGTGCACCATTGGGGATTGTGACTTGGCCGTCCCGTAGCAACTAATAAAGTTGCGTATTTGACTGAAACTATATGATACGTATATTTTTAGAAAGAATTTCTATAAATTGGGTTGAATGCCATACTTGGGCTTTGTGCCAGAGCTGTTTGGACCCTTAGGGGCCTTTTCTTATTATCCTCTCACTGTTTTGATTAAAAATCTATATTGCCATTCAATGTTTTACTGATTTCATAACTCAGTCATTATTACCCCATTTTTTATGCATATATAATGTTATTTTGGTCTGAGCACCTTGTTTTTACTGATAGCATGAGTGGCTTGAGAGGTTTATGACTAAGTGAGGCCGAGGGCATGTTTTTGAGGATACTATGGGATCGGGCTGCGCGCCGCAGCAGGTTGTTTTTGATTCATGATTATGTGAGGTTGATGGCCTGATTGATTTATGCCACGAGGTGGCTTAGTATAGCACTTGTGCTGTAGGAGCCCCTCTGGAGTCTGCACACCTCCAGTGAGCGTGGGTACCCTGAGTGAGTGATATGAGATATGCCCGAGGGGATGTATACGAGTGATTGTGAGGTTAGCCCAAGGGGCTGTATATGAGTGATGTTCTGCCCGAGGGGCTGCTTATGAGGTGATGTTTTGCACGAGGGGTTGTTTACTAATTTCACCATTTCACTCTATTTTGCATTGAGCCTCTTTTGAAACTGTGGAGAAATATCTTCAAATGATTTTTGCAACATGATTTGACTCACGTACTGATTTGAAAGCATGTTGTAAT